TTACATGGTTGACTGAACTAGAACAATGACTAAAGTGTGACTGCAAAAGTTGATTTAACAAGAGGGCCAACCTACTGACCCGCTCATTTGCAAAATCCTTTGGCCCAATTTCAATCCTTAGAGGAACACCTTTCATTTCCCAATGTGAATACTTCCAACCAGGAGAATAGTTATCTCTAAAGTCTGACTCAGCACGAATGCCAGCTTGGCACAATGTATTCACAGTTGCAGAGCAGGCACTAAATATACCTTGTGTATCAGCATCTTTGTATGGCACTGGAATCACAATGACTTGGACCGAGGCTACTTTAGGGGGCAGCACCAATCCCTTGTCATCCCCATGAACCATCACCATCACACCAATCTAATGGAAAAGGGCAAAAATATTAAGACAACTATGTAGAGGAATCCTGAAATACATTTCTGTTCTAGAAATCAAAACTTACAGTTCGAGTACTATAAGCCCAAGAGTTCTGCCAGGCCATTGCTTTCTCTCCCTTCTCGTTTTCATAGTTTATCTCAAACATCTTAGCAAAATTTTGGCCCAGACAATGAGAGGTTGCGCCTTGTATACCACGACCAGTATTAGGGATAAATGCCTAGCATAAGTTACATCACAAGTTTATAAGCTTTAAGCCACGATTCAAATGGATCAACCTTCATGCAAGAACATTACCTCAACACTAGTGGTATAAAGTCCACCAGCAAACTTCTCCAGCTCACTTTTCTTACCCTTGATGACAGGAATTGCTAAATATTCTTCATATATTCGCCTGTACAGTTCCAATATTTCAAGGACCTGAAACAGACATCATTTGGAATGGTTTTAAAAACATTATATCTGGAAAAAAAGTTCTCAAGAAACCAGAATTTCCATGTGTTCAACTCAAATTCATCAACAATGCAAATTTCATGAAGTCAACTGCAAGAGGGCAATTCGCTGTCCAACTTGTAGGCACTGTTTTTGGGCTCCATTCTTGGCAACAATATTGTTCCTTACAATAATGTAAATCCTAGCACCTTCTTGATAAGAATTAATTTGATTATTCCATTTGATGCATCTCACTGGCAATTTCACTATGCAGTTACAGTTTTAATTTGTCCTCAATTAAGCAACAGCCGCCTTTCAACTTTAGCCTTTCACCATATGTTAATTGCGACCATATCATCCTTAAATCTGCTACATTCATTTGATGGATATGCAACTTAGTAATCCAACATGTAATACCACCATTGACGAATCCAAATACTCTAAACTATTCTTTGTAAGTAGGAAAATTTTATTTGTAAAACTTGTTGAAATCAACCTCCCCCCAAATTTTGGATAAATTTTCAGGCCCCCCCCCCCCAAAATGATCATTTCTGGATTCATCCCCGAATACCACATCAAATGGTAAGCCAAACATACTAGCAGCAGAGTGAGCATGTATTACCTCTGCATCCGCCTCCTCCTTTGTTGCAAAAGCAGTGTGTCCTTCCTGCCAAAGAAACTCTCGACTCCTGTATTCAGAGCATGTATTAGAATCTGACAAAAGCATCATAATTAAAATAAATACAGATGTAAGTAAGCAGATACAAAATTCAATATTTAAAAATTACAACATATTTTAAAACTTTCTAGTGGTTCAATGGATTAATATTTAAAAAGATATCAGTTATTATTTTAAAAGAAGTGTTACGACCAATTTACCACAACAGGAAATTCCACAGCTCATAAAGAAAACAAAGACAACCGTAAAGGATTACAAAACAGATGTAAGAATGCTTGTTATTCAATCATTGATGCAGTTTAGTAAAGTAGAAAAGGTCTCGTTATTCTAAAATACCATCATGAAATAACAAGTAGAGAAAAATAATGTGAAATAGAATAATATTTAATACCTGATAAAAGGTGTAGGATTGCTGAACTCCCATCTAACAACATTGCACCACTGATTAAGTCTCAAAGGCAAGTCTCGATGTCCCCTTATCCACTTAGAGTAGTATGGATACATTACAGTCTCACTGGTTGGGCGAATAGCAATAGGAACTTCTAAATTAGTTTCTCCAGACTTTGTTACCCAAGCCACCTAATAAAAGACCAATAGATTAGAAGAGCTGCAATAGTGCGTCTCATGACAATCCTGACCTCTTGCAGTAAACTCTGATTATATTAACTGGCAAATGACAACTTAAAAAGAATCTCACCTCTGGTGCAAAGCCATCGACATGATCCTTTTCCTTTTGCAAAACTCCAGGAGATACAAATAAAGGGAAGTAGCAGTTTTTGACTTTCATTTTCTTTAATTCTGCATCAAAGAATGCCTGCACGTTGTTTTTGATAAGACAAGAGACTCTAAGAAGTCCGAAATCAGGGAATGCCTAAAAGAATTTAAGATGCGTATGGCAGATACCACAGATGGACTTGTAAAGAACTTTAAATCTTACTTGCATGACCTCCCATATTGACATAGCCCATGGCCTTAGAATATAGCATCCAGAAATATCATAGTACTCGATCATCTCCCCATTGACAACGACCTACCACATTAAAACAAAATTAACCAACAAAAGCATTACTGTAGTAATTGGAATTTATACCTGGAAAGCCATATTCAATCGAAAGGAACAAATAACGTGTACTTCTTCTCCACTATCATGGTGAAGGTCAAGGATAGCCCTGCTATTACTATTGGACTGTGAATAAGCACTGCTATGAAATACGATCAGATCAGACCTACTTAGCCTAAATAGTTCTTCAACACCATAAAATGAAATTCTAACGGATTGAAATTTCAAACAGCTACCTCAGAATACCACTCCCCAAAGTTGTCTGCCTTTCGATTAGAGAGTCCTAGACCTGTCTCTTTCTTCACCTCCTTTTTCTTCCCGCCTGAATTGCTACAAACTTAGATAGTAAAATGTGGAAATGGACACAAAACAGAAGCGCAAAAGGCACTACCGCTTACCACCAGATTGTTTTGCAGAAGGCTTCTTATCTTCAATCCCAGCCATCCGGAATGCCGAGCTAACGAAACAACGAATAGTAGATATAAGTTACAATCGCTCTTGTACTTGTGCATCTTAAGCCGAAATGCAAGTTTAATTTAGGTCACCTATAATAAATATGCCGGAGGAGGAGCCGACGGCGGTGAAGGAAACCGCGTGGGATAGCAACTGGGGTGGCCCGGAAATAAGGGTTTTCCGCTTTCGGAGGCTAATTTTTATTTTCCACATAAAACGATAACGCCCATTTTTTTGGGGTAAAAAAAAAAAAGAGGGTGCGTGAACTATCAACTTTGAGTAAAGGGAAAACGAGAATAATTTTTTTTAAATATAAAAATAATAAATTAATCTTTTAAAATATAATAATTTTTTTAAATTTTTAAAACTTTATTTATCATTAATAAATTTATATAACTTATTAAATTATTGTTATTAAAAATAAATAATTTATAATTTTTTTTATGTTTATAATTTTTTCTCTTACATTCATAATAATACAAAAATAAATCATAATTTTATATGTTAATTTTTTATTTACTATTGTATTATTGAAAATGTAAAAAAGAAAATTATAAATACTTAAATAAAAATTATTAAATTTTTATTTTTAATAAAAATAATTTAATAATTTATATAAATTTATGAATAATAAAAATTTAAAATTTTTTTTATAGAAATTATGACATTTCAAAAAATTAAATTATTATTTATATATTTTAAAAATTATCATTTTTTTTAAAAAAAGTGTACTTCCTCTATACATCTATTATTTAAATTTTCAGCATTTAAATTTTAATTTACTTTCATTATAAATTATATATTATAAATTTAAAACTAATAAATATTAGTTAAAACAAATGTCTAGTTTAAAATATTGATAAATATTATCTTAAAATTATAAAATGACATGCACATAAAAAGAAAATTTTCTCTTTAAAATGTATCAGCTAAAAATTAAAAATAGATGAAGTGGTGAATAATTAAAATTGAAATTAAAGGCCATTTATTTAATATAAAAAATAAATAATTTTTTTAGATAATTTAAATATTTTATAAAAAACTTATTTTGTAAAAATTTTATGAAAATCAAATATTATTTTTTGTTTGGTTATAATAATTAAAAAATAATTATTAATTAGTTATTTTTAAATTTTATAATATTTTTTTATTTTTATTACAAAAATGATTTATTGTCAAATTATTTTAAAATTTTATGATTTTTAAGTATCCTACTTTTTTAAATATTCTTTTTCACCTGTCCCATTAAATTGTTTTTGAAAACTACTAAAAATGAATTTTTAAAATAATTAAAAATATATTTTTTAAAAATTTTAGTTATTTTTTAAATTTTAAATAAATATTGTGAAACCTTTCAAAAATAAACTTTTTTAAAAAATAAATTGAAACAAACAGAGTCCAAGAAGATTGTTATATAGGTGAAGAGGTGAAATATATTTTAGCTTTATAAGCTTTAATATTTTTAAATTACCCTTTATCTCAATGTGGAATTGAATTTTTATTGGTCAAATCAAGCACATAATTTAAAGCAAAATCATGTTATTTATTGAGATAGGATATTTTTATATAAATTTTTTATAATATATTGATGATTGATATTGATAATATCAATAGTTTAATAGGGTCAGGTATCAAAAACTAATTATGCTTTGGTACATGAAAAAGAAAAATTTTTAACTGACTTGAACTATCAATAGTTACTTCCTTTGGTTGATAATTTTAACTGTTTTACATGTTTTTAAAAATTATTTTTTTTATATCATAAAAAAATTAAATATATTTTTATTTTTATCTTTAATTTTAAATCGTGATATAAATATATTAGATATCTTTATAGTAATAAAAAATAATTTAATTATTATAAAATGTTATATATTTTAAATTAAAAATTATTTTTTCAAGGAGAGTTAATAGTTTAAGATTGTATTTCATTTCATTCATAACTTAGTAGAATAAACAAATAACTGAGGATTGTTAACAAAGTCACAGAGATACTGAGATGAAAGCTTGAAAGGCTGACTTTTACGCATCGGTCAGGAGGAGCGATGTATAATTGCTGCAAAAAAAAAAAAAAAAAATTAGCAGCGTATAATTTCGCTTGTTTCTTCGCCCTTTCTGCATTCTTCGCCTCGCCTGGACGCAGGTTGCCAACCCGCCGGCGGCTCTGGAGCAGACGAGAAGCGTAATCTATCGGTATTAGAGTTTTGCTCTCAATCGATAATTCATCGAGAGAATTGAACACGATGGCTGAAGAATCCCAGCAGCCGATCAGGCTGATGAATTTTGTATCCGAAGATCAAGTAAATTTTCCCCTTAAACCCCCTGAAGCTGAAACAAACACTATGTGCACTAGTTCAGAGTTACAGTTTTAAATTATTTTTTTTCTATGCCTTGAATCTTTGAATTAATTTTAAGCTTATGTTATTCATCGATGTTTCCTGACGTTAACGGGTGTGTGTATTCCGAATAGTTGGCTGAATCTAAAAGAACAAGGGGTGAAAGACTTGAAGACGGCACTGCCCAAAGGGATAGACCCCTCTACGAGGTCAGCTTTCACTGTCCCCTTCTGATTTATGGTTATTTAGACTAGACAATTGAAATTTGATTCATTGTTTACGTTGAACTTTGCTTTGTCCAACCTCATAGAAAAAGGTATCGAGTGACTACATCATCTAGTAAATTGTTTAGTATGTATGAAAAGGGCGAGCTAGAAGAGCGAGTCAATTTTAAGCCTTTTTACTTACATGACGTCCATTACAAATGGCTATATGGAGTTAGCGATTCAACTCAGCTGCTATTAGATTTAAATTTTACCCTCAATTTGCAGATTCTAAAGGAGAATAAGGACAAGCGGGATGCGGAATTTAATGAACGGTTCAAACATAGTGAGTATTGGAGTAGCATTTAGTACATTATGGTTTTTTTCTCTTATGTAGTGCTTGGGTGTGGACATCTAACTTCTGGGAGATGGTTTAGAGTAGAGAAGATCTTGGTTACTGAAAATTGAAACATTTTCAACTTGCATGTGGCTTTCCCAAGTATATAAATCAATGCTGTTCCAGTGAATGCTTCCATGTTTTTTTGGCCAATATTAATATCGTCGTGTTTAATGGCCCTTTTTGGGGGAAGGCATTTTATGCTATAAATATGTTCTACAAGTCTTCCATGTTTAGATTTATTTTGTTGCCATTACCAGTTGAAATTTACCCTTCTTCAATCCTTACAGGACCGCCTAAAGCTTTAGATGAAGATGAGACTGAGTTTCTTGATAAATTGGAAATGGTAACACTTACTTTTTTCCAACCATTAATTTGAAATGTTTTAAGGATGGAAGTTCCATTTTGGTTCTGATTAAAAGCATTAAAAATGTCATTTTCATTTAGGGAGTGTTAGGGTGGGTGTTTTTTTTCTTTTCTTTTCTTTTCTTTTGCTTTTTTTTTTTTTTTTTTTGAGGAGAGGGGAGGGGAGGGGAGGATGGAATCTTGTTTGGATGGAAAAAATGGAGGGGAGGGAGGCAAATTTTTATCTTCTCTCTCCCCTCCTCTTTCCTCCTCCCCCTGCCCTCCAAAAGTTGGGGGGGGGGTTTGGAGGGAGACAAACATTGTATCATATGTTGACCAAAAGATCCGCACTTATTTTTTATCATCCCGCAACTATAACTACCCATCAATAAATAAACTAAATTAATTAGGTGCAAACAATTATACTCTTTTTTGGACAGTAATATTTCTTCCTTTTTTATGATTTGAATTTCTGTATCCTCTAAACCTTCCAGACTAGGAGAGAATATGAACAGCAAGTGGCAAATGACGAAGCTGAACAAATCCGGAGTTTTCAAGTTAAGTCCAGCAATTATTGGGATGATGACAATAACTCTTGAAGCTATAATAGTACACCAATTTCTTGTTTATAATAGTCAATTTTCTCTTAGAATAATGTCTTGTCTTGCTATTGTAAAAGGGAATTTATCATATGTGGGTGCCAATATTTGATCCATGGTTTTGCTAAATACGTTTTACTTGTGTTTTTTTTCCTTTTTAAAGGCAGCAGTGGCAGCACAGTCCAACATTGTTCATGAACTTAAGGAAGCAGCATCTCGTCCTGTTTTTCAGGTTGGTTTCAGTGAACTTTTTATGTACATTGTCTTTTTTGGTTTTTCTACTTTAACTGGGTGATAACAATTCTTGGTTCTACTTTTACTGCGTAAAAATGCTTGCATCTTCATACTTTTGTGTCTTAGTTGCTCCTGAATTCCTGACTTCTTTGACAAATTTTTTTTTTTTTTGCCTTTTTTTTTTCATGACTCAATCTTGAGGAGCACCTGTTGAATAAGATTTCAGACTAATTTTGGTGTCTGCATGGAAGACTTTAGTTGTTTTACTTTGAAGGGCTTGTCCTCCATTGCAATTTTATGTCCCCTCTGTTGAAGTTCTGTTTTTAGAAGTTTCGTTCTAGCTAGGTGCTTTCCTAAATAACCCAAGCCAAAACTGTCTTTTGAACCAAGGTCTTGTTCTTTTTTAAAACCTGAAATGATGAGTGTGGCTAAGGAACAGAAGTTGTCACTCGATATTCATGTTTTATTACCCAATAACTGTTATACTCCTTTTTATCCAAAATATAAGCAAGTTTTAGGAAAAATTTGCATATCAATAAAGTCATCATTCCTATAAAAATATATGGTTTTTCCTTTTATCTCTAGGCTTAATTACCAATGCATTCCATGATGAATGAGAGATACATTTACAAATATTTAGGTTAATATAAAAAGGGTAAAATGGAATTTTTTTTTATACATATATTAGGTTATTTATATTTTGAATCAAGATTAGCCAAGAGAAAATGCTCATATTTTGCATTCAGTGCAAGTTGTGTGATAAAAGGAGACCAAGAGATATGTGTTTTATGTTACAAAATATCACTGGGAAAGGACTCAAATGAGATGCTTAGGATTAATTTGAGGTTGCTGCGGGATGTGTGTGAATATGTGGGTTTTACCTGTATGATGCCAAGCACAAAGTTCCTGTCAGATGATGAGCATCCGAACCCCTCCCCCCTCTTCGAAAATCAAAAGCCCCACTTTTCAATGAACAGGATACGAGATGCATCTGTTTTTGCTCTGAAAACAAACATCTGAACTTTTCGTTTTTAGAAACGCTGAACTAAAATTTCTTTTTTTTTTTTATATCATATATTATATATTTCCCTTCTCACTCTTCTGTTGGGATGCTTGCATTATGGTTATTAATAGCGATCATAATTTTTGGCCACTTGGGGACTGATTAAGAGTTAGCACTTGGGATATTTACTTCTACATCACGTCTTGACTTGATGGCTTGCTCATCGGCTATGTTCACTAGAGCTAGGCCGGTGCAACAGGTGAGACAGGCTTTTCCGAAGGGCTGCCCATAGCCCATTCCATTTTCTCCAAAATGGGCTGGGCTAGCTCGTACCTTCGCTCAACTTGTTTTGGCCTGTTCCAAAATGGGCTGAGCCAGTCTTGGCGGGCTGAAAACAGGCTGGTCCAGTCTGTTTATCATGAAAAATCATTACAAAAAAAATCTTGAACTTGGGGAGAAAAGTTGGGAAGGTGGAAAATGAGAATATCCACGTGTGAACACAAAACAATGAATCACCAACTAAAATAATCATTTTTACTTGAGGCTCTAGAATCAACATTTTTTAAAAGCTGTGAGGGCATAAAAATACATTCATCACTTGAATATTCATAGATTTTTACACGTTATTTTTAAAAAAGGAGCTGGTATATTAATTGAACAAGAGAATTTGAGTCAGAAAGCGAAATGGTCCAAAATCCAAACAGAGACAAATCCTTGAATAAATGGAAGACCATCAGAATACTAGGTTGAACTCAAGTAGGAGAGTGCGCTAGGCAAGCAACAAGATCGAAGAATCTAGATCAAGAAGGACAACGAATTTGCAAGTTTATGTGTAAGACCATAATAGAGATAAAGCAAATAAATTTGCATTATCGATGTCAACATCAGGTTGGGCTTGTGCCTGAATTGTCGCTGAGTGTTTGGACTCTAGACTGAAGCGAGATGCGAAGCAGTGAGACAAGGAGCAATGAGATCAAGATGTGAGAAAGAGCATATTGGTAGCTTCAACTGTCAGATCGGACTTCTTAGTTCACACTTTTGCAATTTTTAGTTGATTATAAAGCATCGGTACTCTGTGAACTGAACGATGTGACTCGACCTCAAGTGGAGTGGTGAAGAGAGCTTGACAGTGACTGGAATGGAGAGTGTTGATGGCAACTAGAAATGATACTCAGAGACAAGAGTAAGAGCCAAGAGCGGAGTCGGAGACAAGAGGGAGCGGGTTCAAAATAGGATGAGCAAATGATGGGGATGAGATGAGATGATGTGCGAGCGGGGATGTGACTGCAAGGGTTTTCCTTTTTTTTTTTTTTTTGGTGGGAGTGGAGTGGACAAAGAGATAAATGTAGGGTTTGACAATTTTTTATTTTTTATTTTTAAGTTAACCTCCAAACGGGTTGGGACAGACAACCTGAGGGGTGACCTGTAGCCTGTCTTGCCCAGTTATGATACAAATGGGCTAACTTGTAAATTTAGCCTGCCTGTTTTTTCCCTTAACCTGCCTATTTTGATCGGGTACAAGCAGGTCCGATGGGTAATGAGTTGTCTATTCACCCCTAACTAGAACACCACATGTTTCTCTTGCAGGAAGAAAAGCCTACTGGAAAGAAGAATGCAGCATCTCGGCCATTAGGCATGATTATAAAAGTCAAGCCCCAAGCTAAAAAGGCCCGGGTAGATTCAGGAAATGCAGAAGAAGCTTCAAAAGTAGGCACTGACAAGCATGAATCTTTGGAGCCAGCGCAATCATTGAATGGAGAAGCTGCAGAGTCTTGTGAGGTTGCCCCATCTGGGCTTGTTTCGTATAGCGACGAAAGCGATGATGATAACGAGTAGTGGTGGTATTTTTGTTTCCAAGTACTTACGTTTTTTCAACTTGTTTTTTCATGTGGTATAAATGCCTTTTCTGCCCAATACCCACGCGTGTCGAGGCTTTTGATGTAAACAGTTATATCCTGTGAGTTGGCTTCCCTGACGAGGTGCAGGATCTACGGTCCAGATTTATTTTTTTATTTTTTATTTCACATTTTTTAAAATAAAAAATTATATAAATTGCACAAAAAAAATTGTTTATCTATCTAGATAGTTTAAATTTAATATAAATTATTCATATTTAATATTAATTTTTTTATAAATGGATTTCTAGATATATTTGAACTGTGCAGGACTGCAGGTTCAATTTTTTTATAATGTTTATAATGAAATGTGGATCATTTATATTAAATTTGAATTGTTCAAATTAGTAAATAGATTTATTAAAAAATTTTATAATTTATATATTTTTATTTAAAAAAATGTGAAATGAAAACTAAAAAAGTATTTTTTTTTTTGGATCAAGTGGACAGCACAGAAAACTAGACCATAATGTCAGACTCCAAAGCAGCAAACACACATTGCGGTGGGCTTGGGAAGACAACAAGATTAGATATCTGACGCAGAGCCTCCTTAACTAAAATATCAACAACCATATTTGCCTCTCTACTGCATCATGAGAGCATTAAACACCAGTCTCTACTCCTCATATTTTGGATCTCTGCTATCAAGTCTCGATCTGGATGGTCACTAGTATCTTCCTTGCACAGCACTGCCAAAACTTCTCTGTAATCAGTCTCAATTTCCACCTTAGTCCACGTCATATCCCAAGCTCTCTTAAAAGCCTAAAGCACCCCACCTAAAGTTTTGCATTTAGACTAAAGCTAGTACTAATATGATACATGAAGCCACCCAGAAAGTTTCTTGATTGATCTCTAGCAATTCCACCACATCCAGCAACACCTCCATCTACACCGCAGGCACCATCGATGTTAAACTTAATGATCCCAAGATCAGGAGCACGCCACATACCCCGACCTTTTGCAATATTATTTGTCAACAACCTCAGATTAGACCATTTGATCACTGTTTATGTCTGAGCGAGTATAGTTTGCACACCAAAGGCTTTTTGTTGAAACACCCTCAAATTTCTATTAATCCAGAGTTGTCTGCAAAGAATAGCAAACCACACATCCTATCTAAAACCATTCACCAAGAATCTTTGAGACAAGTTTCAGTCCATCCATTCTTCATGAGTCTCAAAGGAGAGAAATCAAGATCTCCACTCCAAAGGCACTACTCTCTCCCAACATCCCTCCACTAAGTAGCAATCACGGAGCATATGCATGATATCTTCCCTGTAACGTGAACATAGTGCGCATGAGGTATCCGTTTGTAGTCCTCTGGCATCACGAACCACGTTCGTCATAATCCTATTGTAGTTGCATAGCCACAAGAAAGTTTTATTTTTTTGAGGAATAGGAGCCTTCTATAACTTCCTCCAAAAGCCTCTACGACTCGTATTACTGGTGGGCGATAGACCTATGTGAGCAGACTTAATAGTGAACTCACCACTATTGTTCCATCTCCATCTTATTCTATCCTCATCAGGTGAGATTCTCATGTGCATAATCTCTCTAACCATGTTCAATGGCAGAAAGTCTTTAAATTTATGTCTATTCCAGCTGCCCGAGGGATTAATGTATTTATCTATCGTCTCCTCACAAACTTCATCAGACGATGTGTTAGTAACATAACTCAATAGTCCCTCGTGGTGGGGAAGCCAATGATCTTTCCAAAATATAATACGAGTGCCACGACCTAACTACCATGTTAAACCATTTTTGGTGTCAGGCCATGCATCACAAATACCTCTCCAAGCACTGGAAGCACGTCTTCTAGTTTCAACAGTAGGTATCACATCGTCACCACATTTATACTTCTCTCTTATAACTCTTACCCATAACACATCCCTCCTTTTAATCAGACCCTAGTCAAGTTTCATCATGAATGTCTTGTTTTGTCTATGAGCCTCCTGGAGACCTAAACCTCTATCTTCTTTCCTCTGACACATATCTCCCTAAGCTACTAAGTGCATCCTCTTTTGTTTGTTCGTACTCCCCCATATGAATTGCCTATACTTTTGATCAATCTCGTGACATGTACTAAGAGGTAGAGGTGTAGACTGCATCGTGTATGTTGGGATAGCAGCAACCACAAAAGAAACTAGTCTGGCTGCCAAAGATAAAGTATTTACCTTCCAAGAAGAAAGACGAGTCTCCATCCTATTCAATACATGTTGATACATAACTTTTGTAACTTTCTTATGCAGTAACGATACACCTAAATACTTCCTCAGATCTGTCGTAAATGTAAACCCCAGGAAATTACTTATCTCTGTAGCTTTACTTTAACCTACATTCTCGGAAAAGAAAATCCTAGATTTATTACTTTTGACTTTTTCCCTTGAAATACTGTAAAAATCATTAAGGCAAGCTTTAATCATCCCAGCTTGATCCAGGCTAGCTTCAGCAAAAAGTAAAAGGTCATCCGCAAAAAAAAGATGAGATATAGCTATCCCATTCCTTTTAGAGCGAAAAAGTATCAAGTTGCCATTCTCTACTTCACCTTAAATTAAGTGTCCTAACTTTTTTATAATTAGCATAAACAAATACGGAGATATTGAAACTCCTTGCTGTAACCCCCTAGATAGGGTAAATTTTTTCCCCTTTTCATCATTCCATAACACTTGCATAGTGATAGTAGAGAAGCATTTAGCCACCAAATTCATAAATGCTTTAGGCATATTCAGTTCCTCTAAGCATTTCCCCATCTAACTTGATTATAAGCTTTCTCCAACTCAATCTTCAATGCAATAAAGCTTTTCTTTCTTGAACATTTTTGAAAATAATGAATAATCTCCTGAGCAACAATAATATTGTCTGTACTTTGCCTTCTAGGACAAAACTACATTGATTAAGGGCCACAACTGTAAGCATGATAGCTTTTAGCCGTGAGGCAAGGACTTTAGTCATTACTTTGTAAATGACATTACACAGACTAATAGTACGGAAGTCTTTCATTGCCTTCGAATTCTCAATCTTCAGGATTAAAAAATTATTCGTATCATTAAATCAAGATTTTCAAAAGTCTGCTGCAACAGCTGAAATATTGTATTCCCTACCAATTCCCATTGGTTTTGGAAAAATAAAGGATTCAAACCATTAGGGCCCAGGGCTTTGAGAGGGCCCATAGAAAACAAACTCTGTTTTACCTCTTGTAGAGTAATCTCCTTTCCCAACAGATCTAATTCTGATTGCGAGATTGTAGGAAATCTCCCTCTAAAAATAATGTGATTAGGAGAAGGCAATGTCTCTTAATAAAGGCTTGTAAAATAATCCATACCCATGCCTTTCAAGCGTTCTTTATCATAAATCCATTCATCATCATCCCCTTTAAGGGCTTCAATCTTCTTCCTTCTCTTGCAATTATTAGCCATAATATGAAAATACCTAGTATTCTTATCCCCCAGGGAATACCAATTGCACCTAGACCTTTACAGCCACATAATCTCTTCTTGCACTAACACTTCTTCCAACTCAGCCTATAGAGTATGTTGTTTAACCTCCAGGTTCCTTGAGCAGGGGTTATTACTCAGTTTTCTGAAAATATAATCAAGCTCAGATAGTAAACTAGCCTTGCATTTGTTGATATTTTCAAACACCTATCTATTCCATTTCGTCACGTTCAAAACAAACCTGTCCACATTGTCTTTCTAGCTATGAGATAGACTCTAAGAACCTTTCACAACTAATTCAAAGCCTTCAAGTGTAATCCAAGGAGCAAAAAATATGAACGAGTACCTCCTCTTATCTCTACCACGTCCTGCCAAAGTTTGAGCAATATAAGACAATAGTCTGACTTATATTTAGGTAAGTGAATCACTGAGGCTTGATTAAACTTTTCAAACCACTCAACACATACACAATACCTATCAATTCTATTGCATGTTCTCCCATTACTCCATGTGTATTTATGACCTTGGAATCCCATATCAATCAAACCAAACCTAATAAACCATTCCTTGAAACGCCGATCTGGTTGGAACAGGTGTGGGTGAAAACAAGGCACGTTCTCCATCACTGAGAATAGCATTAAAGTCTCCTTCTATACACCATTTTTGCATACTATTATCTTCAATCTGACGTAAAGACTGCCACAAAGCCTATCTTCGATCAAAACATGAGTTACCATACACTATAGATAAGTCCCATTGCTCCTTGGATCTATGGTTAAAACAACCATGTAAGATTTGCTCATGCTTCTCCTTCACTTGAAAATCAATCTTATCCCCCTAAAAGAACTAAATAGCCCACTAAAACCATTCGCTTCTACACAGTCAAAATTTGGAAGACCAATTCTCCTACTTAAACTCTGAGCTTTGGAGCTATCATGTTTGGTTTCCAAAAGAGCAAGGAACTCAAACTTAGATCTACGTTGTAACTTAACAAGAAGTCTCGAGAAACTTCTTCCACCGATGCCCCTAATGTTCTAAAAAAGAATATTATTACTGCTTTTATCTATAAGAATATAATTAAGAAAATACCAACAGACCATTTAATCATGCATGGTAGAGCCGTCATTGACAGTCCGGTTGCTCAACATATCTGCATGTTGCTTGTAAGAAAGCGGGTTCAAATGTATAAGGAATTCCTTCAAATGGCCCGCACCCGGATCTAGTGGATCATCATCTATTTTCATGTTCTCTTCCTCATAGTTCACGCTATCCTCATCTGTGGGTTTGCTAGGAAGACAATCCATAACATTGCCCAGTTCTCCCTTACGATCTAGCTCCATTTCTTGTTCACTTGATCTAGCTGAAACTGTTTCAAAGCATCCCCTAACTTGTCTTTAGCTCATTGTAATAGATCCATTCCACTCGAATTGGCTTGCTTTATTCTCAGATTTGTAAAAGGCCCTGGTGGAGTAGGCCCATGTTTTGGCTACTTTATCTTTCTAGCATCTAAAGTGAAATTCGGCCCAGTTCTAAAGTTCCCTTTAAGCCCATTAGTAAGCCCCATGCGTCTGTCTTCCCTTTCTTTGTTATTGATATCCATTAGCGGATTACATGCCCAATAATAATGGGATGGTGATTCATCCGATCTTCCCTCCTCAATCTCCAGAATAGAATATCGAGATTTTGGCCC